AAAATTAGATCACTATGACTCATAGCAATTTTACGACCCTGACCCATGCACGATTTAATTTAATTAGAAATATGTTTATTTTAGACCATTGCAAAATAGTATAGATCAAAGGGAAGTTACTCAATTGAATACAGCACAAATAAATTGCTAATAAGGATTTTGTGTGAATATATGGCTCGGAAAAATCTGGAGAACCCAATTATCATAATTATAATAATATTAGAGATAACACGGTCTGGTATGAAAATATATGAAAAACAGACAGAGCTTACCGAAATTGTCGTGATTTAAGGTTCGAGTACTGCTGTCTTAAACTCAAAATGAATTATCTTGTGGCCTGAGTTACGGAAGCATTTTAAGGCACCAGCACACACCACGCTATTAACAGTATTGACCAATTAGAATTGGGCGATGAGTTGCAGCTACCTGATTGGCTGCCACTGGTCCCAGTTATCTCTCTATTGGCTACCTTGCACTCAACGTAGACGTTGGATAGTCAGTAATCCACTTTAACCTCTTTCGCCCTTGCTTCAAAAAGCTCGTTGCTTCCTCCTTCTCTGAGTCATGATTGGTGGTGGGCGTGGTTGTTTCTAAATATTACCATGGCGACATAGAGCCCATTTGAAATTGTATTACAATCAGCAGATTAAGAAGTCAACGCAGTAGTTTGCACTCGCTTGAATAAAATAAGATTGACATGTTATTGTAATTCACACTGATTTGCTTAAAATTTCATGGAATTTCTGCCAATTCTTTCCCCTTTGCTAATTATTCTATAATATTTCCCACTTATATTGGTACCTCTTTTATTGATTGAGACAATTTATCTAATATTATTTATTTATTTTCTATTATTGAAAATAGCATGACTGTTTGATGAATGTCGAATTTCATACTGAATGGGAAGTTCATAAATGCTGCCAATTCGCGCCTATTGGTCAATATGTCGAGTCTCATTGGGAAAAGATTGTTTCCAGATAAGCACAATGTAAATCTACTCAATGCCAATTAATGGAACAGGTATCATGAATTTACCTGCAATGTCCATTCTCTGAATGAGAATTAGCATCCCGAATATGCTAAAATCTTTGGTAGTTTTAATTCGTAAGATTCACACCTCTAGAAGAAATGGAAATCAGAGTGGTAAAACCGAGTGATATGACTCCCAACAGTCAATAAGCACTTGACATTCACAAAAAAACATTTGTTTCATTAAATTTGGTAAGAAATATTCAATAAGGAAATATTGCCCATTTCAATCCAAAGACCAACTAAAGTAATAGTCATGGGTATCCTGAAGGTGGTCACGGTATCTTTTGAATCTCTTCCGACTTATTATTTGGTGCAACTTCTGTTCAGCGATTTTAACTATTTCCCACAATCAAGTACCACTTATTACGGCTGAGCATCCTTTTATGCAAATCTTGTTTTGCTTTATCGAGAGCATTGGTCAAATATACTCTATTTAATCAATATTGATAACATTATTACCTTCAAACCAATCGTCATCTACTCTACTTCAGGTTATTAGCTACCCTTTGATACTGCGTCCTGAGTAATACATTGACTCTAATTGATTCGAATAGAGCTGTTATGATGATGTTAACACAATCATTAGAGCTCAAAGGGGATTCATTTAATGTCGTCTAACCGACAAATACCTTTTACAACTAAAATTAAATAAAGTTCACCTAAGTCTTATAATTGCCTTTAGGATTTATCAGGGCTGCTATTAGTGGGGTTTCATGAAGATACTACATCCAAACCTGAACGTTGAGTATTATCAGCTACCCATTGCACCTCCTAAGGAACCTCTGGACAGTGTTTACCCTGAAGCCAACATTGCGTCAACTTTGTCAACGCCCATGTAGTATCAAACACGCATAGCTCACTCATTCACCAATGCAATAATACGTTTTGTAACAGTCACACCCAATGGTGGCTAAGCCAACATAAGAAGTATATAATGACTCACTGTTGGACAAGTGACGCCTACCCCAGACTTGAGTACCCACACCTTAGTAACCAGCCAAACAACCAATCAGTGCTACTGGACAAATGAATAAATAAATAAATGAATGAGTAACCTATGACTACCAGAGGCAACCTAGGTTATAACAGCCGGTTACCTCTATGTTGCAAGTTTGCGCTGTGTTAAAAAAACAATAGACAAGCATTTGAATGAAAAATTAGGAATAGTGAAGTTTAGCGATAATTGTCATTTAAAGGAAGAAAAGGAAGCCAACTAATTTGCTTCCTGTCCAATGACTGTAAAAAATTTACTTCATTCCTCGTCCACACCCACCATAATTGCCAGGCAATGAGCAAATACTGCAGGACTAAGTTTCTGGAATAGACAACCTACTATCACTACTACTACTACCATTAGGCATAATACTGGTCGCCCAGCCGGTAACTCCTTTATGAACTTCTGTGTATTTCCGATCCACCCTGTTTAAGGGGAAGTCGAGGTCTTCATCTCTGCGCTATACCATTTTATTGGAGAAAAATTGGGAGGAAAGCAGAGCATTTCAGTAGGAAAGAGTGGAGTTTAGTGGTGGTGGTGGTGATGGCGAGTACTTAGGAGAGGAAAAGGGAAGCAATTCGTTGAGTTTCTTCCTCATGGATTTGGAGGATTTTGGCTAATTCTTTGTCCAGTGTCCTTGTTGGTAAATATTGAGGCTAAAGTAAAATGGAGGACTATTACTACTTCAATTGGGCTGGTTTAAACGAAACTTGAAATATCTGTGCGGTAAATTTATTGGTAGTCTGGGGAAACGTTAGCAAAAAGCACAAAAAATAGTCAATCATCTAAGTTGACAAATTCACTAGACTCATCTTTCATTCGCAATAATTTGTACCGAGATTTGAGTGAGCAGGCATAGTGATTAAGACCTCACTACTCGACTATGAACTTGGAGGCAAGGAAAGAAGTAGCGATCCACTATGATGAGTTGATGTGGTTTCAAACACTTTAAATCTTCTTGAAATTGAAGCACGTTTAGGCAAACGGGAAAACTTTAAACTCATTTTAATCATTAAACAAAATGTTACTTTATGCCTTGAAGAGAGAGGAAAACCAGTTAGGGTTAATTATTACCATTATTGATGACTGCTATTACTGATAATCGAAGCAAGTTATAGTTCAAATCGAACTTGATCATAGTATGAACGATACGGATAACCTCCAAACGCCAGTGTTTTTCACTGCACAAATCGCATTAAAAATATTTTCATGATAATTGGTCCCAAAAGGTCTTAATACGTTTATTCCATTTCTTAGATTTTTAACCCCCCCCCCCCCCCCCCCCACCCTCTGATAATAGTAAATGCATTTGTGGGTGCAGCCATGGAAAATTTGAACAAAATTTGTCTATGATATCATCAAATAGACAGAATAGTCGTATTAATTAATTACGTTCAACTCTCCTTATGAGTCCTCCCACACCCCCCCCCCCTTGTTCAAAAGAAGAGCCCACAAGTATTTAAGGTGCTGTAACCACTAAAGAGAACCCCAGGTAAGTGGCCAATAACACGAGCTGTGGGGGTGTTAAGTTGTGTTCTTGTGCACCATACCCTCCCACCGCCGGTCCCTTTCTGACACCTGTTTTTCCATTACGTTATGCACCTTTTCACTGGCCATCTCCTATTTCATTAAACCCATTTGATTGGTAAGTGGAGTTAAGTAGCCAGAATCTCCATTCGTTCACCATTTTCCCATTTCAGGCCTGATTAGATCACCTGAACCAATGTGAACACCCAGCGAAAAAGAGCATTTGCAACGCAGTGTCAGAGAAGAATGCCAACTGCTCTCCGGAATGCTTCCAGATGCGATAACTAATTTGCAGAAATTTCTGCAAATTGCTTTCTCTTTTTGGATAGCGAATAATATTATTGATTTAAGATGGAAATTCGCATTTTATAAAGTTAGTAGTAGGAAGTAATGGCCTTTATTTAGTTGTTTCTCGTCTTAACTCTCTTCAAAGTAACTGTTGTCAATGAGCAATAGACGGAAATTACAACAGGAAATTATCCATCAAAAACTCTTGGAGAGGCCAGGTAAGCTAAGTTGGCATGCGCCCATATTATTCTCTCAAGTAATGTATTTAATAAAGTGTGAACGTAAAAATATCAATGAGAATATGATCTCTCTCGCACACATACACACACTCTCTTTATAGTTAATTACTTACATTTCATTTATCTCATAGTTTTGTATATCGATGACAATCTGTTGTCCTCAAAAATATTGGGAACTAAAGAACCAGATAACCTCGAGAAGAACACGTTAATTTCAGTTAAATTTGTTTCGCAAGTTCCTTTAGGAAACCTGTTTCTAGCTCCAATCTCGAGCAAAAGTGACATCATAAAGCCACCTCGACGCGACTCGAATTTCATCGCCTTCTATGTTAACTCGACTTAACCAGAACAGTTAGAACGGTGTACCAATGGAAAGTGAACCTATGATTTTCAGTATGACAGACCAATTAGAAATAATTAACCATATAAGTGATTAAAAGCTTAATTAATAAAAACGATCAATAAATGCACTTTCTTGCTCTGAAATGGGCGATAATTTCTCGGGCAAACTCTAGAGTACCCTCAAACGAAGACTTAAGATTGAAAAAATATGCCTCAAACTGAGTATTGCAAAAAAAGGCGTTCTTTGGCTCGTTAACAGAAAAAATTGTGCCTATTAAAACGCGTGAAATTTGAGTCAACCATTAACTGGCTCTTAATTAAAAAAAGCAAACAGCTGCAAGATAGTTCTTTAACTTCTATTCACCCTTTCACTTTACTTGCTAAAGTAGCACTTTATGAAATCCCACAAAAACACTTTCATTTGCGAATCAAAAGGGGAGGTGGGGGAGGCAGTAGCCAATTGACTCAAATTACCCCTGCTTTGACTTTCTGCCTGCTTTTCTTACTGCACAGCAAATTCGCGGCTGACACAGACTTGGAATACTCCATCATCTTAAAGAATAGGAAAGAAGCTCACTTTAAGTAAATTGAACAAAATGGTTCACCCAACAACTTAAAGCACCTACAATTTCACGTTTAGATTTGGCCTTCTCTGGGATAACTTGACTTTGAGCAATCTCAAAATTTTTAAAGTTTGAGAAAGATTTTGGTTTTTCTTGAGCACGTGGAGTGATAGCTTCAAATGGAATTGATATTTCGGAGGATTTTGGAAAAGTCAAAGAGGTTGTCTCATGTGCCAGCGAGGAAAATTCATGTCGCCACTGTGGAAATCAACTAAATAATAATTATGTTCTCTTTTTATACATTAATATAATATCTTTTAAGCTCTCACACACCGATGTATTTAATAAATAATCCAAGTCCTTTGGCTGCTCATGTTTCGCTCCGTTTCTAGCATGCTTGTCCAAGTTCTTGAAGTTCATAACTTTCACCGGACGTCGCTGTATTTTTGGTTGCGAAAAGGGTTTGGTCTCTATCTCATTTGGTGATACTGATAGTGAAGTTGTCACTTGATAGCTTTCTCTCATAAAATCATCAACAGCTTGAATTAGATCCATTCTTTGCTCTTGAAGGAGGTGCTTCAACGTCACCTATGAATAAAAATAAAAATAGTGGAAAAATTCTATCGTCAGCCTCTACTTATAAGCTATAAGTAACATGTGAATCTACCGTTGGAATAGCTGATTGGTCACTACCATAAACAGGAAGGTTACTCAAGGTTTTACTTTCAATATTGGAAGGACTTTCCACAGAAGGTTGCAGTCTAGCAGTCATTCTGTCAATGAAAGAAGTAATACCAATAATGCATGCGTGCGCTCATTATTAATAATCTATAATTAGTAGGCATTCGTTTCTCACAAATGTGAATACGACCCGTTTTTCGGCGCCCTCTTTGCCTTAACTTCTTTAACATTTTTTCGAATGAAATTCTTCCGATCTTTTGGTTTTGGAGGGACATGTTCCACGATTAATCCCATTTTGGTCCCAAGGAGAGATGGCGAAATGGGATTTTGGATACCAGACCCCAAAAGAGGTGAATAATTCGCCTGTTCGGGTACTCTTGACTTTTCCATTTCAAAGTCGTTTATCGAATCGTTATTTATTTGTGAAGTCTGGTTAAAAATATTAAAACAATTGAAATCAATTTTTATGATCTTACCCAACCAAGTGTAAGTTGATTAGACTCCTTACTGAGTATATCAAAAGACCATGACAACGAAGCCTGCTCCGGGTTTAAGGTCGGAGGTTGCCATTCAAAACAATCTGATTCTCGTTGTTTACTCACTTCAGCTTTCTAGATAAAAAAGTCAAATTTATTATTTACCAGAGGACAGCGCTTTGGAGTGTATATAGCTACGGTTCACTGACGTAGTAAACTTGTTGTCATTATTCGTCGCGGCATGTAATTAACGACTTCTGCCACCGACTGGTTTGTCAGTAGTATTAAGGATCAAACGGTAATGTTTGAGTTGAGAAAATACCCTCCCCCCCCCCCAACCCACTAACTACTTGCCTCAATCTAACTTCGTTTAAAAGTCTAAATGAAAACTTTAACGAATTCTAAGTCTAAGACAAAGTAAAGAAGGATAGGTTCAACAATTTGTGGGGCGGACAATAATTTGTCGAGTATCACTTCGTGCTGTTTGGGGTGTGCGATAGACTTACCTCCTCGTGGTGCACCCTGGGCAACGTATATTCATACGGCAAAAATTATATTAACTGGCAGTTGACTTCTCACTTCAAACTACCCTCTATCAATGGGCAGTTGACTTCAAACTGCCATGATCCCACTGTATGTCATATTCGACTACCTTCCACAGTACTCACATCACCTTTTTTCTACCTTTGTGTCTGTATCTTCTACATCTTCCCCACTCTATGCCATATTCGACTATTTCCACAGTACTCACCTTACTGTATGTCATATTCGACTACTTCCACAGTACTCACCTCGCCTTTTTTCTACCTTTATGCCTGTCTCTTTTACATTTTTGAAGAACTCTTCTGTTCCTCCCTCCCCTCTTGACTATTTTTCCACTTTGATGTTCCTTACCCTCTGTGAAGCCTGAAGTCAACTAAAGGGCTAATGATAACTGTCAGAACGCCTGCCGTTTAATATAAATAAACTTCGTGCTGTTTTAGTAAAAAATCGCTTAGGTCTCAACAAGAAAATCTAACCAAGATTAGATAGCGTTAAAATATTTCTTTTACTAAGATTTATCCCATTTACCTGAACGCATATATATATATATATATATATATATATATATATATGCTATCAGATCTACCAAAATATTCATGACAAAATTTCTCTTACCGTTTCAATTACAACATTCACCTTTTCTTCAATAGCGGTCTCAGCCCCTTCTATGTCGCTAGAAGAATTTGACTCAGAAGGAATTTGTAGCTTCGGAATATTATGCAAAGTCTAGAACACATCATTATCAGATGAAAATTGACATCTTCTTACGTCGATACTAAGTGTTCTAATTGAAGCATCCTCGAGAGAATCCTCGCAATGTTCGGTAGTTGGATTCCCTCCGCTAAAGGTAAAATTCCTCTATGATTTAATACGTACCAACTGCCTTGACAATTTACTTCTTAAATTAAATACAAATGTCAAATCTGAGGAAACTATGAAATGCCTCTCCTATAAACTATCCAAATCCTTCAAAGCAATGTTAATCCAAACACGTCGACTAGTATAATTTATCAGCAAATATTGACTCGATAATCCAGTAGGTCCCTTACCACTTAGATGAAACCGATATTCCCATTGGTTGAATAAATCTATAAGTAAATACAAGTAACTAAAAATGACAAAGCTTCTAGAGAAGACTGTCTTTATTGTTTTCGATTTTTGATTATCTTAGTTACGCTTAGAAAGTACCCAGCCAATCACACAAGGGTATCTATCTATAACGCCTTGACCAATTAGGTAAGAGCAAGAGAAATTACTAAGTCACTTCTTATTTCTTTCAATTGCGAATTCAAATAGCAATCTCAAGTACTTAATATGAACTGGTAAGCTTGAATTGTACTAATCCTTAAATTCCTTGGGCAGTGTTTAATACAATGAAATAAACACAGAAGGAAAAAATAAAGAGGCGGAAAAGCAATCAGGAAATAATCCTTTTTGACGTTAAATAATAACAACATTAAATTATGACTGAAATATCAATAACGGCAATAAATGAGCCTTTTAATGTATTAAAAACAAGATGTAATTGAATGTAAGAACTAGATAGGATTATATTTGGAGGAAAGATTTAAAAGTATCTGTACTGTACACATCGGAGATATAAAAGGAGTTATAGTCTCGATACAATTTCCTCCACAGTATTACCGGCCTTATGGAGTTGTTTTACTTGTTCCGCATAGCGAATTTCAAAGAGGGATTCTGCTGTAAGTTCCGGCTGCTCAACTACACTAGCTCTCCAGGCAACATAGGGCTTCAACTCACACTTGTCAAGGTCTGACGGAACTACAAATTCAACACGCATTTCAGGCATTTCTGTGACTCTTCCATTTATAATACAAGAGGTTGGAGGCTCTCTAATAATGGTATAGATTATTTTGTCAGACAAACCTTGGAATCCATGGGTACCTAGCCCTTCGACGACTTTTGTGAACATCAAGTAGCCATTTATAACTAGTAGCATAAGCAGTTTTCTGACGTAACAAAGTCGCGGAAGTAGATATACCCCTACTAATAAATCCGCAAACACACGACCCTGCTGCCATTGTTAAATTTGACCTTGAACACTAAATCATGCAGCGCGGTTGTCTAAGGATAATTTCCATCATAAATGGATTTCCAGTTAAGTGCTCTAAAGATTAAAACATAAAATTTTGTTATATATTTTTATTAAATTTCATTTAAGAAATATTACTGGGCTTAGATCTAATGGTAATCAAAACTAACAGTGACTTCACTTCTAAATTTGATCTTATGAAATCACGATATCAGTATTGACGCTAAACTCTTTGAAGCCGTTTGATCAATATTCTAGGTAAAATTTTTGGTTCCTTGGTTACGTATAATGTTTCACATATGCAAAGTTAAAAAAGCAAGCTTTAAATTTCTCTAATATTTACATATATACAATATCAAAAGCATATTCTCGATTAATCATTCCTATTCTGTATGAATTATACCATTCACAGTAGTACAGATATGTTTATATAACGAAATAAAATTGACATAATACTGTAGGTAATTTGCTTTATGTTCAGTATGTACCATCTCTATGCAAAAGAAGTAACATATTTAATGTCAAACTGACGTAGTTGCAACCTACAAACTGTTAAATAATATATTTTAAAATTTTTACCTGCTCAGCGTGTTTCTTTCTAAAATGACTTTCTAGCTCAAAAAAGTCTGCAATTGTTAAAAAGAAGTCAGCATCTCATATATTTCACTCTCTAGCAACATAGCTAGTTTGACGTTTTTTCCCTATGTGATACTGCATCGAAATTATTCTTTGAAATGAACAATAACTAATCATTTTCGTCCGTCAATTGGACTAAATGTCAAAATGTCAACTACAAATTTAGATATGAGATAACTTATGCTCATTCACTGAAGAATGATCAAAAGTAGTACCGATCACTTGAAATACGGCTAATTATACCAATTCGTTAATTTAAAGCAAAGGTTTATTAGTTGAAGAAATATCAATTCCGGAAGGAATGACAACTATTGAGATCGCTGAAACACCAGATCCTTACATATTTAGGATACTATCGTCAACGTCGAAAGACGATAATCTGAAGCATAAGGAGGTAAAAAAGGAAAAGAGTTTAAAGAAGTACACGGCTATCGGAATCAAGCACAATTACTTTGAAGATATTGTAAAGAGAGAGAGAAAAATTCTTAAACGCCTTACTAATTGTCCTTTTATTACTAGATTGCGATGCACAATCTATAATGAAAGAGTGAGTTTGAAACTATTAATGTATACTTATTCTTTTGGCGTTTTTTCTATGTCTTTTTGCTAAACTATAGGCAAGACAAGGATGGATGGTCTATGATTCCTTCATGGAACCCCAATGGGATTCTCTCCGTCCATCTTTATCGATTGCTGATATAAGGAGTTATGTTTATCAAATACTCAGTGGATTAGAGTTCTGCCACAAGAAAAAGATCGTACACAGAAATATCAGCTGGAGTAGTCTCCATATTGATGCAAGCAACAAAAGAATTCAAATTGGGGGGTGGGAATATGCCCTATTAAGCGATGATATTCATCCAATGGAGCATGACGTTAAAGTGCCACATTTCAAATCTCCCGAGAGGCTGCTAGACGACCTGTCAAGTTGTCCTACTTTTAAATTTGATTTTGCTGTTGACATGTGGTCGGCTGGCTGCATACTAGGATGTTTGATTTTCAGAAAGAAGTACTTGTTCGATGACGTTGACACTCTAATGACAGTCCTACATATTGCAGAAGTCATTGGATATAAGGCCATAATGGACTTCATTAAAAAGTACCAAATCGATTATAGACTTCCTTTTAATTGTGCATACGAAAAAATGACGCCCATTGGTTTCGTAGGCGTTATCCCTAAAGGAAGCAAAATAGTTGCGACTAGTGATTCTATTGATTTATTGAAAAGTTTGGTTGTCATCGATCCGGTCGATCGATACTCCGCTGAGCGCGCACTGCAACATTGCTTCTTTAAAGACTGTGATGTTTCTGAGCATTATTTACAGCGAAGGAAGAAGCCAACTTCCATTTTTAAGGTCGATATTGGAGTTAACATAGGCTCTGGGACATTCAGTCAGGTGTATAAATTTCGTGAAGTTCGAAAAGCTGGAAGGCAAAAGGTAGTTCGAGAACTTGCGGTAAAATACCTAAGGTACAATGATGATGTCCGTAAAGAGCGCAAAAAACTGGCCAAAAGAGAAATTAAAGTCTTGAGTCTTCTTCGTGGTTGCCAAAATATCATCCAATTTTATGGAGCTTTAAAAGGGGGTCCAGTAAGCCTATCTTTTTCCTAAAACCTTTTAGTTGAATTATACCTGCATTATTATGGAGCATATAGATGCTCTAAAAACCGATGCATTTTTCTTTACAAAACTGGACGACGTTCGGTTCTACCTCTATCAGCTGTTGCTGGCTTTAGAATCTTGCCACAGTCATGGAATAATGCATCGAGACGTCAAACCAGCTAACGTGTTGATTAATTACCGAACCAAGCAATTGCGTTTAATTGATTTTGGTCTAGCGGAATTTTACAAGGAAGGAAGGCGGTACAATCTGGGAATAGGAACCGTTAGATACTTAGCTCCAGAAATACTTTTGAATTATGAGGCATGTATTTATTTATAAATTATTTTGCTTCCTTTTTCTAGTTCTACAATTATGCAGTTGATATGTGGGCATTTGGTGTGGCGCTATCAAGTTGCATATTTAAGAGACGTATGCTTGGCTCACTAACTGAGCCTCAACTTACTCAAGTAGCCAAGTTACTTGGAACGTCCAATCTCTACGGATTCATGATGAAAGTAGTAATACACGTGGACCCCGAATTGATCATTGGCACTACTGATCTGCCGGTTACTCCATGGCAATCATTTGTAAATGAAGACAATAAAGATTTCGCCACGGAGGATGCCATCGATTTAATTGATAAATTGCTTGTTTATGATCCTAACAAACGTCTCAATGTTAAACAGGCTATGGAACATCCATTCTTTCATCCAATTTCCACAAGTCATGTACTTAATAATTGATCATTATCTCTATGTTGCCATGTATATATTTGATTATAATTTTGAGTTATATTAACGTAATTACGGTAATAATCTGTTTGTCAATTAAAATTGGCTAGAAACTATGTTTGCATTGAAAGGTGGTTGAAGAATGTATCCATTTTGAGTTCCACATGTTGGTCCCAATCCGTGGAGAGGACTAAAAATAATTTATTTAGCACTAAAGCATGTTCCAAGTAATGTTGAAAATAGGACTGAAGAGAGAACTAGTAGGAACGCTGTGTAGACAGGCTAGATTAGACGTAGTGGTAATCGGCTTACTCTCTGACCAAGATGGCATAAAGCACCCCAGGCATTATATCTTGCTCACTTTCGACTTACTGTGCTGAATTTCCGGAACTGAAGGGATTGGTATATATTTGTTTATTTATTTATTAAATGAATGAGTAAAAAGCTATTTATATGACAAGACCAACTATCATTGAGTACTCGACATCGCAAACAAGCACTTACTGCAAACCAATCAAAGATTAATTAAATTTGAGCCTTGAAGTACGCATTGCATTTAACCCTATTGTCAATTACGCACCTTCGGTTCGACTTCGGACCCACTGAGCTTGGCAAATATTAAAAGTTTCTTATTTATATAGGACGAACTCACTTATGACCTTGGTAAGTAGGTGTTTCCGATGGCCAAAGTTAAGGACAAACAGCTATGCGAGCTAACCGAATAGGTGCCATTGGTGTAAGGCGCTCAATATCATCTTACATTGCTCTGCTTTCTCAAACACTGAAGGTAAAAATTAAATTAAATTAAATTGCAAAATATTAAAAAGGCAGTTTTCACAGGTGGGGTATGCAATAGACTTACCTCCTCGTGGTGCACCCTAGGCAACGCACACTCATGCGGCAAAACAGTCTATAAACCGGCAGTTAACTTCTGACCTCAAACTACATTGACCCCACTGTATGTCATATTCTGCCACTTCCACAGTACTCTCCTCCCTTTTTTCTCTGCCTTTGTGTCTGTCTGTCTGCCTATCTGCCTCTTTTACATCTATGAATCTCTCTTCTGCTCCCCCTCTCGGATTTTTCTCACTTTGATGTTCCTCCCCTCTGTGAAGCCCGAAGTCAGCTAAATAGTTAATGATAATTATCAAAACGCCTGCCACTTGATATAAATGAAGTTATCACAGGTAAGAAACATATATTAAGGAGAAAGCAAGTTTAGCATGGGCCCCCACACTTCAATTAGTGAATTGCATTTTTTATAACTTACTCAAGTAGACCACCAAAAACACAGGTCACCCTCTTACTAACAAAGATGTAATTTCTCTTACGAGTTCTAACTTTGCGTACATTGAAATAAGTGTTCAGCCATTTCAGACCAGTCCCAGATAGCATCTTACCGGGGTTTTTCGAAAGAACGTCTATTCGAATAAGGGCCCATGGAGGTAGTTTCATGATATGGAATTTTCCGTTTAACCGCCCTGGACGAATTTTCGGAAAACCCCGGTACAAATTTAATAATTCCAATTATCTATGTGCATAATTCAAATAGCTAGAAAAGATAACTAAGTATCATTCAAATTGAGTACGAATCTTTTGAGAAGGATTGAATATTATAAATTTAAATAGTAAAAGGCATTTAATTTTGTAACGGTCGTTTGTCGTTGTATCGTGAGATGGGAAGTAGCGAAACAAATGATATTTACGAATTTCATGTAAGGTCGTCTACGAAGAAAGATGATTATGAATTGCACGAGGTAATAAATGTACGAAGTGCGAATAAATACCTTGTTAAAGAAATTATGACCGATGATTGCAAAGAAATATTGAAAAAGGAACGAAAAATTCTTTATTGTCTTAAGCAATGCCCTTTTATTTTGCATTTACAATGCACAATCTACAATCATAAGGTGCTTTTTTATTTCTAGAATAAATCATCTACTTTTAGAAAAACCAGGGCTGGCTTGTCTACGATTTCTTCACAGAACCCGATTGGGTTTCTCTTCTCAAATCTCTATCGATGGATGAGATAAAGAGCTATGTCTTTCAAATTCTTAGTGGGATCGAGTTTTGTCACAGACAAGGGATCGTGCATAGAAATATCTGCTGGAGCAGCCTTTGCCTTGACAAGCAACTCAAGAAACTACAAATCGGTGGGTGGCAGTATGCGCTATTCCATGCCGATGTTCATCCCATGGAAAGGGAAGTTGAAATGAATTTCTTCAAGAGCCCTGAAAGACTTTTGGGTGAATATTCGCGAAATCAAGAACTGAGATTTAATTTGCCTGTTGATATGTGGTCGATTGGTTGCGTGCTAGGATGCATGCTGCTCAGGAAAACTAGCATGTTTGATGGTGTTGACTGGCGAATGATTTGGCTGAATATTGAGGGCATCTTGGGTTCAAAAACAATGCTTGACTTCGTTGCTAAATATAACCTCGAATACGACTTTGTTACCCTAGAGGGATTCGAGTGTTCAACAGGCATTGATCTAAATGACTTAATCACTGGAAGAGACAAAAATGTTGTAACCGATAGGGCTATCGATTTACTGGCTAATCTATTGGTAATCGATCCTGAGTTTCGATTTACAGCTACCAAAGCCCTGCGCCACAATTTCTTTAGAAATATTAGAGAGTCTTCAAAGCGGTCTCGACCACTAAGGGATGGTTCTACAATTTATAAATATGAAACTGTAAGCGAGGAAGGCTTTGGGTCATTCAGTCGCGTTTACAAAGTACTTGAAGTTAAGAGAATTGAAAGTGGTAAAGTTTGCAGAGAATTTGCGGTGAAACATGTAACTAAGTGGTACGCAAAAGTAGTACCGAATGAGATTGAGTCTCTTAAACTTCTTCGAGGATGTCCAAATATTATTCAACTTCAGGGAGTGTTGGATAATGCTGATGTAAGCCAAAGTTAACTGAATATTTTTATAAATAATTTTAGCTTGAATACGCTTGCATCTTTCTGGAGTATTTCGAAGGCTTAACGCTCGGTGTATCTCACTTCGATACTGTAGATAAATTGCAGTTTTACCTCTATCAGTTGCTGCTGGCTTTGGAAGCTTGCCACAGTCGTGGGATAATGCATCGAGATGTCAAACCATCTAACGTGTTGATTAATTACCAGACCAAGCAATTGCGCTTAATTGATTTTGGTCTAGCGGAGTTCTATGTAGAAGGGGTGCGCTATAATTGTGCACCAGGCACTCTTAGATATAAGGCCCCAGAGGTACTTCTAGGTCATGAGGTATGCTTATTTTCCACTTTTTTTTCATTTCTTCCTAGAAACACAATTATGCAGTTGATATGTGGGCATTTGGAGTTATTTTCGCGAGTTGTGTATTTAAAACTCATATCTTCGACCGATCCACATCAGTGCTTTGCCAAATAATGCGTATACTTGGAACTTCTGGACTACTAGATTATATCGAAAAATTGGGTGATGTAGATGAGTCCTATTGGCAATATTCTTCAACGAATTATCCAGCACTGCCTTGGCATTCATTTATAAATGACGAAAATAGGAATTTTGCTACAGAAAATGCTCTCAATTTAATCGAAAAATTGCTCGTTTACGACCATGGCAAACGCCTGAAAGTTGAACAGGCTATGCAACATCCCTTCTTTTTACCGTATTCTAACATTTCTTTGTAGAGAGCCACCTCCTAGTCATTCGATTATATAGTTTTTGCATATTTTTTTAAATATATGCCTAGTTTCTTTTGCATAAACATTTTGGGTGACCTCAAAGAGATGCTCTGATTAGAGTCATTAGTAATGTCTAGGCATAAATTCAATGCATTTACCACGAGGGTGTATTTTAGCAATGACTTTCTTACCGACTTAAGTCTTTCAAATGGCTAACAGGTTCATGAAGGTTTTGGTCCTTCCTGCTGGCCATACGTACTGCTAAGCCACCAAAATACAAAACATTCCCCTTGTGACTTAGCAGGGTAGAAGAAGAGCTTAAATATCTGTAAGTTACAGTGCAAGTGTCTCTTAACGCATGCTGCTTCTGAGTAATCGGTAGTAACGTGCTTCGTGGTTTAGAATCTATCACGCCACTGTCTTGCTTTGTACTCAAATATTTAAATCAACAAAGTTGGGTGTCGGCCAAACCTCGGCAATAAGAAGTGGTTAGTAGCATCTATTCTACTCCTACAGTCTTCTATCCTGATAAAATTTTGATAAAGAAAGCTCAATGTTACATGTCTATTCTCCTGCTTCTTGATGAACAATACCCGTAGGCATCACCAGATCGTCTATCCTCCATATCAATTTACGCCCTCATACCACCCCCGAGAGGCGGTTTTATTACCACAATATAAACATAACCCCTGTTTAAATAGAACATTGACTTATCTGTCTTATCTCTCCTTACTGTGCCCTTGAAATGTCATATGGCAGATTCCCGGATGTTCTAACATTGGCACAGTGTGCAGAGTCTCCACTTTTGAAAATGAACTAAAGGTAAGGACTTATTTGCTCTCAAAAACTTACATCGATTGGATCTTAAGAAGGTTCTTTTCATTTTCGAACTCTTCTCCTTTATGCTTGCTACTGTTTTGGCAGTTTGAAAATGATAATATCAGTATTTGGCATAAGTAACTTTTATTTGTGAACAAGTGATCTCTTTCGAATAAGGATAAAGGCTGAAGAACCGGTTTGCCTATATGAATCATTATACTATACACAATTGAGTTTAGAAAATGGTAAAATGTTGTTTGCTTTCATCATGTGTAGATTCAAAGCCATTAAGATAATGTCACCATTGCTTTCACACCTCCATCCACATTCATTTGAGATGATTGTGGAGATGAACCTCCTTCAAAGTGGAGACTAGAAGGTGGAGAAGGAGAAGACTGGGCTAGATTTGACGCTGAAAACTCAGTTGTGGATGACCTTTGATGTCGGGCAACTGATGATGGGTTTAAGGGAATGACCTCCCCGTGTCCTGTCATCTCTTCATCTTCTTCTTCCATATCCTCACCTCTTGTAGAATTTGGAGCGATATAAATTCCTTCATCGATTCCATCGTCGTCTCCACTTGAGCCGGCCGTAGATGCAGTCTGATGGTGGCGGCGATGGGATACTTCATTGTTCTGGGAGGGATCGGAGAGATTCAGAAGGGTACTAGAGGGAGAAGGAGGATCTGTAGGGATTGAAGAAGTTGTAGAGGTACTCGGATGTGGTGGTGTTGTCTTAATAAATGGGGAGATGATTGGGGGATTTAGAATTGTGCTTGGCATCTGGCTTCTCTGAAATACACTTAGACCACTACCGTCGTCCACAATCGTAGCGTTATCCGGTAATTTCTTCCCTAAGTGAGTCATGTGCAGTCGAGGATTTGGATTAGCAGAGTGTCGGTTCCGACTTCTTCGTGAACTAAACCACATATTGCATCCCTTGATGGTACACTTATGCATCTCCCGCAGATGCACAGCACTATAATGTATTTTCAATGCACCTAAAATTAGAAAGCTTCGTAACTTTCTACTTATAATTGGTAAGTAGTACAGATGTTTAAATTTATCCTACCCTTATCGCAGAAGGATTTCTTGCAGGTTGTACAGAGAACTCGTTTCTTATTGCGCCCAGACATAGTTATTCCCGAAGTTGCTGATGTAGTCGATATTCCATTTAAGGCCTGTTTTCTCTCCTCTCCATATGAAAAATTGTTTGGCTGCTGTCTTTTACTCTCTGAGGCAGTCGACTTCCTGTTCCCTGACGCACGAGACCCTTTCAATTGCTTTCCACCACTGCCTGTTATGGAAGAAGTCCCAATGGAAGTCACAACTGAGAAATCAGTAGCATAATCTATCTCATTTTTATGATCAAGGGTAGGTTTACTAAGGTCTGAGAGGTTATCAAATGGTGCATTCCAAATGTCAAAATGTCCTGGTATTGATTTTCGATCATTCACATCCATTGGGGTCGATGTCACAGTTCCAAAAGCAGAAAGTGGTGGGGGAGGTGGAAGTGGTAATCCGGGGATTCCTGAAAGATCTCCATTTCCTTCCAGCTTTCCACTACACCATCCAGGTGAAGGTAGAGATGGCATTGACAAAGAAGGAATCATGGAAAATTTTGGGAAGTTCATTTTAGAGGTCAAAGCCGCTGCAGCCATAGCGGCAACAAATCGGGTGCTCAATTCTGAGGCCAAATTTGTGCTTGAAAGAGAAGTTGTTACTTCTGTTTCTTTCTTTGAGGCATCTTGTTGGGAGACCACATTCTGTGGCAGAGGTCCAAGAAGGTACTCAGATGAGTGTGGATTGGCTGGTTGTTCTCCAGTAGAAGTGGACTTTTCGGCTTCTAAACTCGCAAGCATATCATGAGCCAGATGCCTAGTCTCCAAAAAACGGAGGAACTGTTGGATTATAAGAGCTTCTTCTTCAATTCTGCAAGATACCCATCTATCACGAAGCTGTCCTTTATGGTCCTATGTGACAAATATTATGGTTAATACTTTCTGATTTCTCTAAATAAAGCCTTGAATTTTAAATCAAACTTACAGTCAACATATAGCCCCTGGTATAATCTTGAAGAGTCCAACCAAATGAGAGGAGGAATTGTGTAAGGTCCACCTGTAGTCGACTTGACGACCAAATTCTGTCAAGAAGGATCTTAATCCTCGTTGGAATAGCATGGCAACCCAGTAGGGCCATACTCATAGTTTCAAACATAACTATAATCAGACCAGGATCAGATTTCAAACTGTTCCCGAAAAATGGGGGTAGATTCTGGAACTTGGAGTAGGCTAAAAGTCGAGATACCGTAAAGTGATTATCATAAGCCATAAAATTTGATCATATCTTGTGTGGTTTTCAAGTGTGAGGGGGGGGGGTGGAGGGAGTCTTGATAGCTGTGACGCAAAGTGGTCATCAGTTGATTGGGGAGATAGGGGAGGTGATTTGAAGTGGGATTTTATGAGGTCCGGCAGACGCTCGGTGACCTTTACCCTAGTCACAATCTACCCACGTTCATCATGATTCTTATCTTGCACCTTTCATATGTTGCTCGGCACTGGAAAACCGCAGTTCAAATTGGTTTTAGTTTGCTTTGGCACTGAAAGTCGTCCTGGTTTTATTGCTGGAATGTTAACGCGCCATACACACTCCACTTCGCTCCACTTTACGGCATTGAATTCATGCCAGCGGCATGGAGATGCTATCATGATAACCAGTTTGCAGCAACCCACCACATCTAAAGTCATTTTGACATTTGACATTACAAAAACGCATTTAAAATGCTTCCGTTTAGTGAAATTTATGTAATAACTTTGATTTAATAATTACTTGTAATTCGATTCGAAATCGTGGCTTAAACGTTTGAGAGCTATTATTAAAAGACTCGACTCGCTTGCTCAAGCTTTTGATCTTGCAAAACGGTAAGAATTGTGGTCACATTGAGGAAACTCTAGTGGGCCTTACTGCTTTTACTATTGCTCAGCTGTACTTGGTTATTCAAGGATGGCAAGTTCATCAAAGTGGCATGAGTCCTCCTTAAATAGTGCCAAGCAAATGGAATTTTTTAACGGAATTTCCAATAGGCCAGCAAAGGGATGAAGAGCAGCTCCAGATGATATTTTGTGCCCATTTTTCCAAAACCAACAGATCACATTTCAAGGGAAAATTTCGTGGTTTTCTCCCCCCCCCCCCCCCCCCTCCCCATGGAAGGGGACAAATGCGCGCCTAAGATGTTTGATGCCTCTTGATGGTGTTTGTTTTTAAATCAAGAGTGGTCGATCGTGACGCTTTTATTCCTTTTTTTATTCTTCCAATGGTTGAGAAAGCAAAATGTTTTTTTTTGTCAATTCGTAGACGAATCCATCCAAGGCCCTAAGTATCACGTGATCAAATCCGTATTATAGGAAATAAAATGGGGAACTATATCTGTTATGAATAATTGGGCAGTCAAGTGCACCAAAAATTCGATTCCACTACTTAATTGTCGACTTTTAGTAAATCCTCCTGTTCGTATGAATGTGAAATCAACTTCTAGAGTATTTACTACTTCGCATATGATTGGTTAGATATTCGTTGGCATAAAAGCCAACCGATCCTACAATTTTTACAGTATTTTTCCTAATTCCCACCTCACTTGATGATACAATCAACGTTAAAATTGAAAAATTATTACATTCTACGCGGACTCATATGCTCGATTTAAAATGACTTGAAAATTCACAAATATTTGTTGGAATTATTTAGAAAATTATTTATTTATTATTTATTGATTGCTTTAAAAATAATCACTTTCTATTAATTTATTCAATTTAAGCTGTAAAATTTAATTGAAATTTTACCTATCTAAACGGCACATTTGAAGCGAGACATTAAGACATTTATTTTTCCTTAGACTGGTATTAATATATTTTTATTCATTTAATTTATTTTTATGATAAATCTTGTTAATTGAAGCTCACCATGAAAAACCCAGGAGTGTGAACATCCGGAGCACTGTCGAACTGCATTGACTCTTGGCTGGAAGGCCTTGCATTCGCAACCCGAACCGGCGCACCTAACTGACTGTGTTGCCGCAAAGTTCTTCATTCCAATCTATAAAACAATTAGACAACACTATATATATATGTGTGTGTGACTGGTAGAATTTGTATTTATCAGTATATTTGGCAACGCAATAAAATAAGGGGATGCGTTTCAATAGTGTTTAAAATAAATCGTCATGTTTAAGTAGACAGGAGGAAGTAGGTGCTGCAAGCTACAGTGATACTTTGTCCCTTGTTAAAAGGCAATTAGAAGGTCCGACTTGAGAGAAGAAGTATTAGTTCCTAACCGTCTTTTTTAATTCCAAGAAATAAGCGCGCAACAACAAGTAATAAGCTAGAAAACGCGTGAATTAGGGTGTTCTATTTCGCTTCTTCCTTCTCCCCTCTGTTTAGTTAACATTTGTCAACATTTGTGGGCTGCTTGTGGGCGTTTATAATAACACAATGTAAGGGAGGAAAGAAAAACGAACTGGGGTGGGGTGGGGGAGGGGGTAAGTGAGATAAGAATGCTGACTAGAAACAGTAATGTGTTGACAGCACATGAAACAAAACTCCCCCCCCCCTCCACTAAAATGGTGTGTGCCTCCCTTGCAGTTGATTATACGCGTGTATGTCTTTTTACACGGTAATGGACCGTGACAACTGCGCTTGTAAAGTATAACCACACAACCACTTCTCTGTGGTTACACCTACCTTCCCTTACCCTCTAAAATACGGATCATGCGAAATAGAAGACGATCTTCGAGGTCTATTTCGTCAAATCCGTTTTAAATAAGTACTCGACAAAATTTCTCCCCAGATTAATTGTAATCCACGTTTAGTTAGTCAATTTCATTCTTAAAACATACCGCCTCTGGGCAAGACTAGTGATTTGTAATTTTCGGTAAGGATCGAATTTTTGTCTTCGAACAATTCTAGAACTTGTCTACAGAGTATGGAAGTTTTCCATTGATGAATTTGCTGGAAGCTACTCTTCTGCCTAAAGTTGAATATTCCATCAATTTTACCAGTGTCGATCTGGTGCCACGCTTACTTAGTGTTAAATCTACCGAGTCAAGGATCATGAAAAGGGCATTCATCAGTGCAGATAGCCGAAATGTAACTGGTTAATTCTTGTCAAAAATGTGGACGAGAGAATGCGGGTTCTTCAGAGCAGTAGCTCCCTGATACCCTCCACCTTTCCAACTCAAGCTTTCTTGACATGAATTTTTCTTCTCAAAAATGCTTGGTGATCAGAAAATGATTGTTTTACTGATGAAAAACTGATTAAAACTATTTTTTAATAATAACAAATTTTTATAACCTATTCGCTGAAATTATTAGAACTGGGAAAGATCAAATTAATTTAGGGAATATGCTATTTCGAAACTAGCGTGAAAATTCTCCTGTCCGATTTTAAAATGAGACACAAGAGGGAGGGAGGGGGGAGAGAGAGGAAGTTGAACAATTTTTCAAAACCCCCTCTTCGTCCCAGTTCTTCATCATTCTTCGTCTGATTAACTTTTCTCTCCCGATGTTCATGCATTTATCGTAGAAGAGTGTTGTTTTTCTCCTATTCTGCAACTTACTATCTTCTGTGTGTGGCGACAGCAGTAATGTCGAGGTAGAAAATGGAAAATGCGTATGAATCTTAGATTATTCGCCTCCCTCCCCTTCCCTCTCTTCTTTTTGCATCTTCTCTTTCTATGCTAATTCAAAGAAGCAAAATTTAGGTGCTTGAAGGGACAATTTACCTCTGGTTACTAACTGCTTAGAAAATCGATGAAAAGATGTGACAATGGGAGGTTGTCAAACAGCCACCCAGGGGGAAGATTCTGGATGGAATAGACAGAGACAACTGACCAGGAAACCTCAATAGAAAGTCATAATTTTCCGCAGTGTCCTCTGTCGTCCTATTTCTCCTGTTTGTTCCGCGCCTGTTGTGTGAAATCAGGCCAAAACACGAACGTCTATGTATGCATGTGTGTATATATGCGTGTGTGTGCGACCACAATGTCATCTTTTTGCGTAGTTGTAAAAGAGGGTAAGGGGAGGGGGAAGAAGGCAAACAGTGTTTAAGGGGACCCCATACTAATGGTTATTTGTGTATGTGGTTAGGCATCCCCTAATGACAAATGACCGCTACGGTCATATATGTGGTTATTATTAGAGAGGTGAACAACTGATTCTCTAAGTGAATATGTTTGGGACTGAGACTGCTGCTAAAAAATGGTCAACAATTTGCGTGTACTACATAGTACGTGCATAGTCGAGTCTGTGTCACCACTACATCGTGTTCAAATTGCCTACAGCAAAAAATGACTTCATTATCTTTAAGTGGTTCATAGGCATGTCTGCGCGAAAGATGCTACACGTCGCCAATTTGTCATTCTCCGTTTTGTAACGCGCTAGGACTTCACGCTTGATGCATCTTGATAGAGCATCAAATGGAGAGGAGTAAGACACACAAAGGTGAGAAGTGAATTCGGCTTGAGAACAGAGTTTCTAACTTCCAATTGTTATACTAAAGACCACCTTCAAAGGAAATTTTCGGCTCTTCTTCAAATACGGAGAGAGAAAAATACTTTAAGATGCGATGACCGAAAGAAAGAAGCTGAAATTATCAATATAGGTCTCATCATTGTGTTCAGTCACTTCTTTTTCTTAATTCAAATAAGTTTCATTTTTTTAATGATTGTTAATAGCCTCTGTCAATCAAGTTTTAGTTTCAAATTGTCTCCATAATGGAAGTCTCATAAAATTTTAAAAAACCTTATAAATAGATATCAAATAAATTTGTAGCAAAAATGTGATGTAAATTTATTTAGCTGTATAAAAAGGAAGCAAGATTTCTCGGTAAAATCAAATTGGAATTATTAGATACTGAGAAATTCAAATAATTTAAATAAATCATTTATTTTCATTTTACTATGAGTTAAATATGCAATGATCCACGTAATTATTTTTTTTAAATCAAAGGACGCACGTCAGTTCGATCCGTTATTAATAATAAATTAAATGCTCAACAGTTCAGTAGAAAGCCTGCCATTGCGAAAATTTGGCAGTGCTTTAAACGTGTCAAATTTCAGAATTTATTGCCCAAACACTAATTGGAATTACGTGCCCAAGATGTCATAATTAAGCTTCATCGTCTTTCTAATTAATGAATATTGATGACAAGGATAAGGGGAGAAAAGATGGTGCTCGATGTGGATCCCACTGACCAAGGTCCACCTGCATTTATTTGATCGCACGTGTGCCGAAAGGTGACAGATTCAACTTTCCCATACCCCCCCCTACCCCCCCCAAACCCTCACTGACCCCAAGTACGTGACCCAGACGGAATAGGTAGTCTAATTGGGTACTCCCTGACTGCCTCATAACACCGTGATAGTAAACGAAAGGGAAAAAATGATCCTTCAAAACCCATTAGAGAAGTGCTTCCATGCACAGTGAGGTCCACTATTCCACTCACTAATGTCCAACGATCGCAGACGAACTGGTTGGCAACTTCGATGCCGATAAAGAAAAAAATTGATTTACATGACCGACAAGATTTAAATCATCTCATTGTCTTGGATTCTTGTTTATATGAGACTAAGATTTGAAACAGTGTGAAAGGAAGTTGGGAAAAATGGTTGGGGGGGGGGGAGAGAAGAAGGCCCAGAGACAGCATAGAGAACATGCGAGCGGTTTATGTTACATCCCGTGTGACAAGTGTGCTGTATGCTTGTATGCATGCTTGTAAGCTCTGCACCAACGCGAGTGTAAAATGTTCATGTCCAGATCGTGAAAACATTCGATCACCATAGCAACAGACATGCATAAACCCTGTCCACCCCTCTCGAAGTAGAAGTTAGCAGGCCGCTCTTGTAGTTGTAAACCGATTTTGTCATTTACTTCGAAAGCGAGCTTTAATCCACATTCTACGTGCAAATTCATTTTAATTTCGATGTTTCTTTGACACCAAAATAAAATTTTACTTGTGCAATGGTGATATAACCTATTTCACCATGATTTATTATTTCTTCAATAATTTGTTCAATGAACAAAAGATGAGGTAGCTACGAATCAGGCATGGGGAATTTCCATAGTTAATACGCCCTCACAATTTGACCACTTCCAAGATGGAAGAGAAAAGATACTGCTACTGAATGCTCAAAGTAAGTGAGAACGTAACTGAAAAGGATCTATAAGCAACAACTTAAAAGAAGTGGTGAATAGAACCCGATGTTGGGTGGGCAAAGAACAGCCCTAAATTGAGGGAAACAACAGAAGGAGGTTTCAACAATGTTTATGTCCCACAGGATCAATTTATTAATAATTTCTACCTGCACATAGTTCTGGCGACCTCTCAACAACATATGTAATCAACTTTGTTTAGGCATGTATCTGACCAGAGATAGGGCAGCAAAAACACTTCTTGGATTGGTAGCCTCAAGCTTCTGTGACATAGGACAGATAGAGTGCAATGGTACAACCCGTAACTCTTCTCAGCTATTGCCCCATATTTCAGGAAATTAAGTCAGGACGTTAGGGAAAGGTGAAAGAGGAGAAAAATGGGAGTTTTAAATGCCACAAACCCACCCAGGGACCATTTGAAAATAACCGCGTATTGTGAAGAGGAGTGAAAACAAAATTTCCTCCCTCTCTCCCCACCCACTCTTCGTGCTAATGTCTACTTCCCATCCGGTCTTGGCTGCCTATTTTCTTCCCTTACCTACCAACTTTCATTTACGTTTCTCTTCTTTCGGGGTGGGAAGTTTTGGTGCTATCAACATAATTCCACGCACACGCGACAGGCATTGGGATTCCACAATCTCCCCCCACACTTTCTCTCTTCCAATTTACGGTTTATCTCCACCTCTGGTACAGCAAAAGGTCACCTTGGATAGTCTCCCCACCACCCCTCTGCCAAAACTTGGAGGTTCGATTCCTTGAATGTCATGACATTTGTGCATGCCAAACCCCAAAAGATTCGGTTGGATAGAGAGAGGGAGAGAGGGAAGAGAAGAGAGGGCAGGTGCAAAGAGAGGGATTCGGTTTGCGTCGCTCTTTTTTCCCTCCTCCTCCTCCTCCTCCTCCACCTCCTAGCCCAATGATTAAGTGCGCGTGCGGGTGTTTGCGGTTTGGCTGTCGTCACTACGACCTTTTTGACGCTCATTGCAGAGCGCAAAGAAAAAAGTGTATACCCTGCTCCCCGCTCTACAAACGCTCATCCCAAAGTGTCAGGGGTAGGTGACCGGAAACTCGGATTTATGCGATGATTTGGGGGTTGGGAAAGGGGGGGACGAATGGTACTTCCAATAGGTGTGCACGCGCACACCTGTAACCACACTAGGAAGAATACCTTGTAGCAATTACCTATCACTAACAAGTGTTAGCACCCACTGCTGCTGGTGCTTCCGAAAGTAATGTCAACCGATTATGGGGGGGGGGAGGGTTGGGAGGTGAGGGTGGAAACTGGAAAGAAGAAAGGGAATGAAACCTGTCAACATGAGAGTTGGTCAACAACTGCATTCTCGTGTTGAATGTATTGTCCTTCTGACATACAATATTAGCATATAAGGCGTGAAAGCGATGAACCAGCTTATGGAATTGCCATGTATTATTGTAACCAAATGTTCCATTAATAAGTCAATACTACAGGGAGCCACTTTGATTTCACTTAGATACTAGGTGTGCCAAGAACTGTCACAACTCCAACTGCTTCCGCCCACTTTCTATTATTATAATTCTGCGGGAACCGGTATCATAAGCTCTGGTAGTATATGTAAGCCGAACATCCAGTCAGGTCACAGTCACTTGTGTTTCCTGTTAAACAAATGCTTCAGAGGATTCTTATCAGAATTTTATGATCAATTTAAAACGGCTTAAAGATCATGGTTGGTCTTCGGAACATTTCCATGGCTTCAAATTCAAGAGTCTTTCTATTAAAAATGGCATTCCTTTCAGTCAATGTGCTATGGTTTTCTGTAATCTGCAATAACACACTCTGAAATATTTTTCATTGAATTGGAGCAAGTCATGATGAAATCAGCAAATGATCTTACCAATATCTTTCCAGAAAGCCCTATATAGGTTAATTTACGAATGACAGGGAAGGTAATCACCACATGAATGTTCAAGTAAATTAGGAATCTTTTGTACTTGTCATCGAGAGAAAGGAAGAATACTTCTCCTTCGCTCTCACGTCTGTCAAAACTGACAACTTCCGCTGGAGGATAGATAGAAAGAGGAAGAGAGTGCGAGTAGGTGGGTTTTATCCGCTTTCTATGTCATTTATGCTTCAAACACCACTTTCCAATCCTCTCAATATATCTTGCTTATTGTTCTACTCTTTACCCATTGTTGTTTTGCTTTGAGAAGCTTTCATAATTTAAATAAACTATTGAAAATCAAATTTCGGTGGGCATCTTGCTTCTCGAGTCCACTCAAAGTTAAAAATACCCGATCAGGCCTGTTACAAAATAACCAATCACATATTTCTACAAATAAACGATGATCTTATTCAGCCAATGATTGTAGTCAAACTAGATTGAGAAGAAGATTGTTTTAAAAAAGTAATAACTTCAATCGATTCATTTTCAAAAAAAACGAACTTGGTGAAATCTTTATTCTCCAAAGGGAAATTCAAAGAATGACAGAAATACCTAATTTTCCAAGTTGAAAATGACAATGTTGTGATCAGACCTTGAAAGTGCCTGTCAGAAAATGGATAATAGCAACCAGAAAGGAAAAGAGATAATTAATTGGAAAATAGAAATTAAGGCTTCCTCCCCTATTCACTTATTAAATGTCAAATCTTCTTCTAGCGTCCTTGAAAAAACACCCAACTTCATCTTCACTTCGTCAACCGCAAAAGTCGAAGGGCATGAGGGGTGAGGGGAAACAGGTTTCCTTTTCACACTTCCTCTCTTCACGGTTTGGTGGCATTTGCTCCGCAGAGCCATCTAAATGTCATTAGAGGTGAAGAGATGTAGTAATAGGAAGGGGGGGGGGGGTGGACTGTAAATGATCTTCTGATACACCGTGGAATGTGTGATAGTTGGTGCTTATTTTATCATCAGCATCATGTGCCATCATCACAGCAAGAATACCAGACCCCATTTTTATGACACGGTGGGGAGAAAAGTGGGCCTCAACATCATCCCCCTCTATTCCCCTTTTGTCCACGTCTCCCCGACACCTGTTCGCAAGCACACTAAGCCACATGGACCTTTTGAATGGCGTGACTTATCACTGGACATGAAAACCACCAATAAGACCTACTCCATCACCACCGCCCAATGGTAGGGACCATGGGAGTTGATTAATATAAATCTATCCCCTTTCCCTTCTTTTCCCCACCCCTCTCCAGGGGTATTAACCGCAGAATAGCCCACAGTGGTCTGTGACTAATCATGATTGATTAAATGTACAAGATTATGGGATGAAGGGGGAAGAAAGGGGGAACCATGGGGAATCAAAAAGATTCTTTATCTTGACGACAGTCTTGACAGAGAGAGAGCGAGAGAAGCCACAGGCGTGCACACATATGCATGGCAACTGATTTCTATTGGGACCCGGGAGGGGTACACAGGAGTTGTAGCAGGGATTACTACTGTCTGGTCCCATGCTGCTGAGGGGTTTTTAGTCCCAATAGAGGGAGAGAGACTATGCAAATTAATGCCACTCATCAATATGCCATGTAAACCAAAACTGGCCGCAAAAATGGATTTAATATTTTCTCTTCTCGGTAGCCAATTTATCTCGAGGCATTCATACTGGGTTAAAAACGAACTTCTACCAATCTCGCTTCCAAAACGACTTTATTAGAAGCTTCGACGATCTAATGAAGGCATTTGTTGATCACAGAGACCTTATTCACCCCCGTTTAGATCACTAATATAACAGTGGGAGACAAGCATAGAAGTTCCATGCTTTAAATCAAGAGATTTTCTCGTTGGCAGTGCACTTCTATACTGTTTAAAATAAAGCTTGGCAAATTTGCAGCCAGAAATCCTAACAAGATTTCCAAATAGTAAGATACCAATGTCATTTTTAGCCTGATTTAGTAATAGAAATAGTTGCTGAAAACTATCGGTAAATCGGAACTCTTAAATCTTTTTTCAACACTAACAAATCAATCTTAATAAATTTATGGATAGGGTAGAATGCTACTTGTATTATAATATTTTAACAATGGATTTAATGTCATTAATTAATTAAAGCATGGAGACAGAATTGATTCCTATTTAAGAATTGTACAATTCCTTTCTAACTCTTGATTCACATAAAACGTGAATCTTCAAGTGGACATTCAATTATTAATTTCTAATTACTGCGAAATGGTGATTAATTGATTCGCCTTTTAAAAGAGGTAAATATGAGGAGCAATTAAAAAATGGGAGCTAGAATTAATTGTAATTAGATTGACTATTAAAATAATGGGTTTCAGTTACAAAGGAGAGGACGCAGAACTGAAAATTGGTACCTTAAATGATAAAAATCGGAATTTCTGTAGGGTTGAACAAACTGCAACGAAGCAATTCTATTAGGGGGGGGGGGGGGGGGCGAATAAGACTCAAAAGGTAACTTTAAGAATAACTTCATCGGGTTCATTCAAAGATGTTGGTATGAAACGGCTCACAGTGTTAGCCCCGAATGTAGAAAGTAATTGTTACTAGTATGAGAATTTAAGCAAGAAACAGAGCTATAGAAAGCCTTGACGACACCTCACCAACTGCGCTTATACTTCTTCAACATCGAACGGACTTTAATTTTACAAATCTTAAAAAGGAAGACTGAATGCGGGCTTACGCCCAGAGAGAGAGAGAGAGGGAGGGAGAGAGACGAATTGAAATAAAAAAATCGACTAAGAAGAGAAGGCAGAAGAGAGGAAGAAGATAAAGTAGACGAAGTATTTAAGAAGAAATTTGTCCAAAACGTTTGCCGTCACATTTTCACACACACACACACACACGCACACCCTGTTCAGTAACAGTTGTTGCTCTCCCCAATAAACGCATAACCTGGCAAATGAATACAGACGACGTGAACGAAAGGGGTGACTGTTAAATTTGTGTGTGTGTCTAAGCCCTTCTTCTCTTTGACGGTTTTTCAACGAAACTATCTCTCAAGGAAGGCCTTGTTTGTGAATTCGCTTCGTTTGCGACTAATGCACAGTTGGTGAAATGGCAGTAAGTGGAGACTATAGCGCAGTGATTGAATCTAGGGGGCAAAAATTTGAATCAGTTTCTCAAAAGCCTATGCTACCGTTTTTTGTCGATTTTAATGAAATCCACGACAACTGGTCTGGTTAAAATTTTGTGCAAATGAAACAATTGCTCCTGGTTAAAATATCAGAAATGGGTGTTATAAAGCCAAATTCTCCCTATTCAAATGCAACGAGTGGAAGAACCATTCGAGTAACCAATTCCTGGAAGTAGGGGTATTGAATATAAGCTTCAGTTGGTATCTGTTGGTGAACATGAAGCATCAAATCGCCTTTCTTTAGGTTTACCTTGGAAACCACAAAATGTTTCAGAATATATAGGAGGAAAACTGAAAATCGAATTGCCTTTATAGAGGCGAGAGTTTTAACGTTAGTTTGAAAGAGCAATTTGTTAGTCATTGCAAATCGTTAATCCAATGAGAATGCATTTAAAGAGGCGGAAAGGCAATTTGTTGTTTCTCTAAGATGAAAGGACTTCACCCCACTACTTGAAACGTCAAACTAATGAGACATTTTTCAAGAATATATCATTAATATAAACAACTTGTATATACCTAATCTCAAGGTATAGTTTTAGAGTTCATAAATAATCATTAGCAATGATTTGAGGAAATTGGTGTTTTGGGATGAGAAAAGTTTGAATTAAAAATTTGTTTTAATGTCAATTTGGCACATATAAATGCTATGAATATCATTACTGCAAACTACGGTTCTGTCAAAGAGTCTTTTTCAAAGTAAAACGCAGAAGTAAAATTGGAACTCAAGGAAAATGAACATGAGACTTACCGAATTCCATGGAGACTGTAGATTGACTCCAAGAGCTCCATTTGTACCCAGAACTGAGTTGATTCCACCAGCGGTAGATGTGATGGCAGTATTTGTAATAGTAGAAGGGTTCATTTCTTTTTGTCCCTGTCGCATACGGTACAACACCTTCTGTTTGCGTTTTATATATTCAAATGTCCTAAAGAAGCCCAGAACAGGAGGATATATGTTAATCTAGTCTACACGCGAGTGCAACGCGCAAATGCGTCCGTGAAAGCACACTTGTGCGGTGATGATAGTTTAACGCGCGACAGGGCGCGCAACCCGACGACGAATGGGTGACGAGGTTAGTGGTGACACATGGTGCGTTCGTGTGGGATTACACGCGTTTGTAGACCACACGCAGATGACGGCGACAAGATATGAACCAATAATGAGGGACTTATGAAAGGTGACAATCTTGCGTTGGTCATTAAATGTTTGGGAAGCCGTCTAACAATGTGACCCGAATACAATGGCCATGCTACTGGTTAGTTGAGGTTAGGCTATAAAATGAGAGAGATTTAAGGGCTAATTTAGTTAGTTTTTGTTAACTAAATATAATTAGATATTATGCATAACCGTCTCGAATAATTTCAGTGTTCCACAAAATTCAAATTTTCATGAAAATAACAAAATTGCTGTCTTATACAGTCATGAATTCATAGATATTTATTGTTAGGATGACATTTTTAAGGTTACGATTTCACATTACGACAAAATCAAACTTTAAGGGAGTTTTAACGGATAGCCAAATTGCAAAATTTGAAGGTTCCGTAACTAAGGCTTTCTGGTAAACGTTAGATGGCAAATCGTGTACGTCATATTTTAATTAAGAGATCTTCCAAGCTATCACCATGTGCTCAAGGAAAAATGTAACGATTGTCTTCGCTAATCACATGTGCTAGGTTTCGTGAATTTAAATGACGTGACCAACTACTCAAATAGATCAACTGCCTATCACTTTAATTTCGTTCATTCCCTTTTGAAAAAAGGCTTTGACTTAGACGTAGAACACTCGTCTAGTTGCATTTCAAAAGCATTTTTCTCTTGTATTATGCCACATGGGCCTGAAAAGGTGATAGTGGGATGATTCAATTTTTTGGGAGCTCAATCTTACCTTGTGGGGGGGGGGCATTATCCTGTTTGGAAAATATCCCTTTTCGGTTAAATAATTATCATTCACTTCTTGTTTTGTCTTCACATTTGTTGACAATACGCTTGGAGTGGGTCTGCTTCGCCAGGCTTTAGCAGTTCGCAATGGATTATTCCACATTCCACGTACATCACACTAAATGCCTGAAAATTGGTTCCGAAGGGTCAGCCCTTTCCTGCCTTATGAAATGGAATGGGTTTTTTGATTTGAGGACTACCTCTCTTTGTTCCACTAACGTTGCGGCAAGTAATCAGCTTTTCAGTTACAATTTTTGGAAAAATGGGCGAATTCTATTTGTCATGTGGCAATCAAATTTCTAACCTATTCAACTTAACCATGCGTTCCAAATGCTTTCATGAGCAAGCAAGTTTCTGAGTTACTTCTTCTATAGTTAACCGAGGATCCAGCTCAAAAAGAGATTTTAAAACCTCATCTAATTGACATCGCCATCCTGGTTACTTGAGAATCATTATAAATATTTTTTCTTCAGTTTATTCTTTTAATCACCTAGCACCTAGCGAAAAATTCCAATGAAGGTTATTTGTCGCCTTCCGGGCGTTCAAGCCCTAACGAGGGAAGGGCAACATTCAGTTTTTGATATTCAGTAAAAAAGGGGTGTGTGATAGACTTATCTCCACGTGGTACACCCTGGGCAACGTAAACTCATACGCCAAAAAAGTCTATTAATCGGCAGTTGACTTTTCACAATTTGACCACAGGATGGAAATCGAACTCGTACATCTGGTTTTAAAATGTGGGATTTTATTAGTGATAATTGGACTGAATATCGATTTTTGAGCAGAGCTGTTGATCTTTGATATCTAAAAAATACCCTCATGTCAAGCAGTCTTTATTTAGCGAGTTTGTCATTACCTTTAAGTCGCTAAAACGCGAAAACTTCAACATACCACCTCTGGATATGCGTAGTCTCGCAACATTCAGTAAAAATTAAGTGGTTTGCCAAGTTTAATTTATAACCATTTAATGAGCAAATTGAATGGAAATGCTTTTTCTCTTTTAACTAGTTGATTGGGTCACTGTTCTCCCCGGGTACTTGCCAAATAGTCACAAAATCTCCCCCCCCCCATTTTAAAAGCCTTTTGAATGGTGAACCTTTGTCTGCCCAAATACATTTGTTCTAAATTTCGACAACGAATACTATTGAAAACTACTTGGCTGGCGGAATATAAACAAAGGGAGTGCTAGGTCCTCATGGGTAAAATATATTATCATGTTCTAGTGAATTGATTTGCTTTATATGATCTAACGCTGGGATATTTGAAGGCAATCAGTTCCTTAAACCTAGTGCTGTGCAATTTACACGAATGACGATTTATATTCATTCATTATATTTATATTCATTATTATAGATCCGAAGCACTAGATGTAGCATTTTGAAAGTGAACGTAGTAATATTTTAGTCATTCCTCACTTCAATTTGACTTTCCCATTTAAAGCAATTTAATTTGCAGAGGGCAGAAGCAATAAAATTTAAAAGCGATGTTTCCATTTACTCAGCCTTTACAATGACAGCGGTAGTCCACTGACACTCGGGAACAATTGCCAAGTCAGTGGGGGGGGGGGTGCTAGAACACTGGAAGCCCGCAGTCCGTAACGATCAGTGCTGACAGCAGAGTGGCCATCGCAGAAAAAAAACGGCCACAAGCCGCAAAAGGGACTTAATGGCGGCCTAAGTCTGGGACTACTAAGGCCCAAAAGAGCAGGAAATAAGTCACGAAAATAATTTATCATCCAGAAATGACCAGCTGAATTTGGGTGAATGAGAAGGCATAAATCAACCACACAAATACCCACGTTCACACTTAAAGCGGTTAAGAAAAAAAAATAATTAGCAATTACAGTTTTTCAAAACGACATAAGACAGATTTGGTTGCCATGAGGGAAGGACCCGGTATAATAATCGACGAAGTTTTTACCCAGGTACCAATGGAAGACTATTTGGAAAGTACAAGTCAGTTACTCTTATTTTCTGCTTTGAACCCACCATTAACCACAGCAGAACATCTATCCTCTTCACTGTGAACATTTGATCCACTGACGGATATAAATATCTGATACAAAGATCGGAGACACTAGATTAGGCCTAATGATGAATATCATTGAGCCTATCATTTAATAAAATTGGATCAGGTGATTGGGGGGGGGGCGGGGGAGTGAAATTGAGCATTCCATAGGCTAGAGCAATAATGGGTTTTAACTTATTTATTAAAAAGGGGAAATTTGAGGTGATAAACATGGACGTAAAAGCTAATGGTATGGTTGAGCTATATCTAACAGTGTGATTTACTAGGATGAAGCCTATTCGGGAGGAAATCATTAAAAAAATCTCTACCCGAATGGAGTCGAATGTTAAAAACCATTCAGTGGAAATAAATAAAAGGTAAGAGACAAGCCTAGTTCAGATCCCATCTGTACGCACTGTACAGAAAGCCCGACCGCAGTAACTGATAAAAGGGAGGTAGAACGTGAGTTCTCATCATGCCATCTCAATAATGCTACCTACTAACTCTTGATAAGCGTTGAATTGTGAAGGGTTTTTCAAAAGCTCCCAGAAGTGCGACTTCTCCAATGTCCCCAATCTACCAATAATACCGCACTAATGTTGACGCTTCACACCATAATATCGTTTTCTCTTGTCGGGTGGTTAATACGAGGCAGTATTGACAAGTACTTGCTCATGTTTCTCTGTTTCTTTCTTTCAAATTTTCATTTAAAAAACCAACTCCGATGCGAACTTTTAGCATAATCAACGAAGTTTTAGAATTTATTACCAAACTATTCGAGTTTATTTGGCTTTAACACAATAGAAATTCGCTTTCATGTCATTCGGTTCAGTTAATTAATTTATTAATTGAATAGATGATCATTGCCAAGACTGAGAATTAAATGAAAGCTCACACAAAGTCGTGCCTAAGACAGGTCTATCATGGCGCAAAGAAAGCCATAACTAGGGTAGCCAATAACATCACTTGCTGTGTCTGGAAGCGGAAGGGCAATAAGTACTTCTTCGCTGTTGACAGCTAATTTTGTCCTCACCTAAACAGCTTATATAAAACCGCAGTTCAAATCTTGCCACTCAAAGCACTGGAATATTCTAGGTGAAAGAAGTGTGTCTGACTTAAACTTTTAATATAAACTCTCTGTGAGACAGGATTTCGGTGGGAGACAGGATAATGTTTCGGCGTCCCCAGAGCGGGAATGCACCTTTTATTGCCCTCGACTGGGATATCCTTACCCGCACCGGCAGATTTTCATATCGAATTTCGGTATAGCAAACGCTTGGAAATAATGTAGAACGTACTGAAATATAAAACCACACTGGCACATATTTCGCTTGAGACATTCTGTTAGATAATAATTCAAGGCTAGAGTTAGGGAATACTTGATTGGCTCATAATTGAGTTTATTTAACTGACTATCCAGCACTGTCAATCACAGACGCGGGTAATAAGACACTAAATAATGACTCTGAGTACTAGGGTAGAATATGAACTTTAAACTCATTTTTGGGCAAGAGGACAACCAGGCTACAACCATTCAAGTGAACTATTTTAGAAGAGCTGACAAAAGTAGCAAAAAAAACAAGTTATGAATACGCAGCCATGGGGTGCTGACAGCTGATGTGCATATAATTCAAATCATCTAATCAACTGAGATTAAGAGAATGAAAGTCAATTTTTTTTTCTAATAACATGTTAATCGCCATAGTGGGTTTGACTACCAAATTCATTTGTGAAAAAGTCGAGATTTTCTGACTTTCAGGAGATCAGAGTGATGTCAGAGATAGTACCTAGTTGCATCTTCTCATTAATAATACAGGCTATATACAGCGACCTGTCTTCAGGGGTTGAACAATGGCAATTTTCCCTCATCGCTGTGGAATTTTTTTCTACATATAATTTCCACGAACGCCGCCAATACGATTTCCCGTAAGGACCAT